CCCCCCACAGGGAATGAAAGGTATATTCCCCCCAAATATACAAAAAACAGAATGATTATAATAAAAAATGTATTTTAATATGTAACTGATGATAAGATACCTGCCCAGTACAGCCACAAATGCAAACTGGAAAGGTATGTTGCTTTTTTTTACAGGAGCAGCGTTGCCATTAGAGACCTCATTTTCCGAAATGGTGAACTCTTAATAACATTCGAAACAAAACAGTACACTCTTCCTCCAATTGATACAGTAGTTGCATTTGTGGAAAATTCAGTGTATATGGAAACTGGGCAAAGATACTTTGTGTTTACATGTAAAACAGTGTTAGTTTTAGGCTTAGATGATGATGAATTGGTTTTTCACCTACATGAGTATCCAGTGGATCAATTTTTTGCTGCATGGGACTGATCAGCATTGTAAAACATCTAGCATGCCTGGCTCCTGCCAACTAAATGCCAGCAGCCCTTGCCAGTCATCGTGACAACCAAAAACACACAGATTTCTACAACGTCCCCTTGAGAACCACCAGGTTTAATGATTATTAGGGTCCCTTCCTGCCCTGGGATTCGTGGATTCTCATGGAGCATTGGTGAGGTACTGTATGTCCTTAGTTTTGCTTCAGTTTCTTTTTCATGTGGACCAAGGTAAACATGAGTCTGAGATTCAAAAGCTGTGAGTCCTGACAGCTCTTCCAACTGCACATAGCAACAATAGGATGTACTGACTAGCCTGGTTCTGGGCCTTTGTTTTACTTTTGAGTAGAGCCAATGTACAGGGTACTGCCATGGGAGTACCTAAAATAATTAAAATATACAGCAGTTTCCTATTTTCAATTAACCCCTGCTCACAGCCATACTCAGTTCAAACCACCAGGGCATTTTGTTAAACAATATGTTATTGGAATATCAAATTGGAGAGGAAGCAGGAAAACATACGAAGCTTTGTCTTCAAACACATTCACTCTGAAAAAGAATGATGTGTACACTTGAGGCAGCTAAATGAGCCAACTTTCACAGCACTCCAAATGACTTTTCCATTAACAGCATTTGTATATCTTCTCTACATGGCAGTTATTTGCAAATTTTATTTGAGGTGACCTAAAAAGGGTTAGAAATGGCTGTAACCAGGGAAATTTTTTTTTTTTTTTTGCATGCTCACTTTCTTACATTCCCAGGCATTTGAAGTGCCCATATTGAAGCAAATATGCTTTCTGCATCATCACCCCTCCACCCCCATCCCTGGAGGCAGCCCAGTGGACCAGAGCCTAGGAACTGCATATCCTCCAACCAGCAGTTCAGCTCCCTGCTTACAAGCTGTGTGACTGGGGCAACTTGTGTAACATCTCAGTGCCTCAAATGGCTTTTCTGTAGAGTCGGAATAAAAGTAGTTTCTGCCTCCAAAGGTGGTTGGGATTCAAGGGCTCATGCATGAATTGAAAATGCTTTGCCAGGAGTGAGAGCTTAGTACACCATAGCTCCAGGTCCCTGCACAAGTGTCTATCACCCCATCATCTCAAATCCCCTAGAGTGGGTTGCTCTGGGCACTGGGCTCCCACAACCCTCACTATTCAAACCTCCACTGTAACAGTGTGTGGTACTGCAGCTGTGTGTGAGCCCACAGAAGGGAGGGAGCTTGTCACACCTCTCTGTGCAGGGTGGAACACACAGGTGTCCAGCAGATGATGGATGAATACTGCAAATGTCTGCCCTAGGCAAGTCATAATGTGGGGCAAGGTGTAAGGGGTTGGAGACCAGCCTGGGCAACAGTGAGACCCTATTTTTTTTTTTTCTTTTAGAGACAGGGTCTCGCTCTGTCACCCAGGCTGGAGTGCAGTGGTATGATCATATCTCTCTGCAGCCTCAAGCTCCTGGGCTCAAGCAATCCTCCTGCCTCAGCATCCCAAGAAGCTATGACTACAGATAGGCACCAACACACCCAGCTAATATTTTTAATTTATTTTATGGAGACAGGGGCTTCTTGCTATGTTGCCCAGGCTGGTCTCGAACTCCTGGCCTCAAGCGATACTCCTGCCTTGGCCTCCCAAAGTGCTGGGATTATAGGCATGAGCCACCATGCCCAGCCCTGAGACCCCATTTCTAAAAAAAAGTTAAAAGTTAGCCAGGCAGATCACTTGAGTCCAAAACTTCAAGGCTGCAGTGAGCTATGATCCTGCCACTGCACTCTAGCCTAGGTGACAGAACAAGACCCCACCTCTAAATAAATACATACATACTTCACATGCATCATCAGCTCATCCGATCCTCATGGCCCACCTAGAAGTAAGGTACCATTTCCCTGGCTGTACAGATGGACAGCATGGGACAAGCTACCACTCACACGGGTAGTAAGCGGTGAAGCTGGGAGGCAGACCCATGTGGAGTGGAGCCAGGACCCGCACAGTTATCCAGTGTCCTCAGACACCTGGAACTCAGCAAGTCCTAAACAGCACCCCTCAGATCTCCCCAAACGACCTCCTCCTCCGGTCTTTATCTCAGAGAATAGCATCTTCATTTCTCACACCCACACTTAAAACCTCAGTGATTTTTGCCTCCATTTTTCTTCTGTCCCAGCCACTATTCATAAGCAGGCCCTTCTTCCTCTCCCGTGTTACGCCTCTCATGTGGGTCTCCTTGTCTCACTTTCCAGTTCAGGCCTGCATTTACCTCTACATCAGTACTGAGCAATCTTCTTGTTGTTATTGTTGTTGTTTTTGCGTGAGTGCCAATTTAAAAGCAATGTAAATGTTTATAAGCTGTTCCCCCCACAGGGAATGAAAGGTATATTCCCCCCAGTAGGCCGAGCACTGCTCTAGGCCTGTTCTTGATCATCCCAGGAACCCCCTGACAGCCCTTCCTGCCTCAGTCTCCCCCCTCACCTCACCTTTACGTGTCTGCCAGAATTTTCTTATCAAACACAGTCCTACTGTACCACTGACCTGCTTGAAAATCTCTGACACCTCCCATAGCATTCAAGGTCATTGCAGACCCAGCTCCCACCAAGCTCGCCAGTCACATGTTCTCCTGTCGTCCACCATTCCCCACCCCTCTTGTCTACCTTGCCCCCTACCACAACACCCCCACCAGCCTTGCACTTTCTGCTCTCCACTGGACAGCTCACTCTTCTCTGAACACACTCGGCACTTCCCCACCTCTGTGCGTTTGCTCACTAGGTCCCTTCCCTGCAAAATGTTCCTCCCCTGTGCACCCACCTTCAGATTCCTACCTGAACCTTCACACACATACACTCATCCAGCCTATAATGGTTCATTGTCGTGTGTCAACTTGACTCTGCCACGGTTCCCAGATATTTGGTCAAACACCAGTCTAGATGTCACTGTGAAGGTATTTTTTTAGATGACACTAACATTTAAATCAGTAGACTTTTGAGTAAAGTAGATTATCCTCCATACTGTGGGTGGGCCTTGTCCAATCAGTTGACAGCCTTAAGAGAAAAAGACCGCGGTCCCCAAGGGAGAAAGAATTCTGCCTCCACACTCCCTTGGGGCTCAAGACTGCAACATCAACTGTTCCCTGGGTTTCCAGCCAGTCAACCTGTGCTAAAGATTTTGGACTTGCCAGTTCCACTATCACATGAGCTGATTCCTTAAATATAGCTGTCTATCTTGCTATCTCGCTATCTCCACACACACATGCTATTGGTTCTGTCTCTCTGGAGAACCCTGGCTAATACAGTTTCCTCCTGCTCTGTGCTCCTGGAACCCCCTGTTTCTGTCACTGCCTGTCTTATATGATATGCAGTCAGACACAGGTCAGCTTCCTCCACGGGTACGTGTCCACTGAGGGCAGAGACAGTTTCTTCTCATCTGTGCATCTCCTTGGAGCCTAGTGCTTCTTAAAGGTCCTGCTCCACCAAGAAGGGAGATGCCCTAAAGCAGAGGCAGGGAACTGGAGGAATGGAGAGTTTGAGCAGCATTAAGGGAGAGGGAGCCAATCCAGAAAGGAAACAC